CCCCAAAACCCCAAAACCCCAAAACCCCAAAACCCCATTAGTGGAAAGGACAATTGAAATCACTCAAAAGTTATTCAGAGAATATTAGTGAAGGAATACTGAATCCATATACCTGAATTGATGCATTGTCAAGATTTGTAGATGGGTCATAGCTCCTGTTCACTTCTTTGGATAGGTTTTCACATTCCAAGAATATTGTTGTAACGAACCTGCTACTCACAAATCCTCTACATTGTCAATACACTGGTGGGTTTTGTTTAAGACTTACTGCTTAAAGTTGATGTAAGAATGACGTCCTTGTCTGGTTGTAAACCTTGCCAGCAACAATGGTCTGTACGGCTTTGTCCACTCTTGATCTAAAGAAATTAGCAGAAGTCTCAGGACAGTTACCCTCAAGATCGAAGAGCTTGCTTTGATCAATTTCGTGCACTGTCATATTGGTTTCTGGGGTTTCTAGATATAAGAATGACTTCTCTTGACAATATTGCTTCTTACCGAAGTCTGCAGTTTGTTTAGGATTGAATTCACCGAGGTAATCTTCGAAGTTGATGAAATATTCTTTACATTCTGAATAATTGTTAAATACTTTAGTATCCAATAATTTTGAAGCAAACAAAATTTACCTTGAATCTCATAATCAGTCAATTTCTGGTTGTGGAGGAAAATAGCGAAGGTCTTGGTTGGGTTTGTGTAGTCTACTGGCCTAATGATCCTGAGACTGTCAAAACAAGCATAGTATGACAAGGCCTGATGGGTTGTAAGTATGGACTAAATTTCATACATTTAAGCAAAAACTCTTAAAACGTACATTGATATTGTATTCAACAGTGTTGATGGTGTCTATTCCTTGAATGGGTCTGTCTCGTTTGCTTTCATGCACTTTTGTCTTGTAAGCATTGCAAAATGCGTAGTAGAAGTGTAGAATCTCTTCTCCAATCTTGTTCTTAATCTGGGCCTCTCTTATGCGAGGATGCTGTGCCTTTATAACTTCTCTGTAAGGTGGGTAATCAATGTAGCCTTTAATAATGGCTTTATCAATTTTGTACTTGATCGTTTCTGGCTCGTCAGTTATTTGCTCGAAGAACCAGAATAGTAAAGTGTATTCATCAGCATGAGGGTGTTCTTCTTTCATAAAGTTAATGAACTTCTTGAAGTATTGAATCCTCTCTTGGATCAGTTTCCAAGTGTCATGATCATAATTTGGTCGATGAATCGCTGATACAGCGATTGGTCATGAAAGAGTAGAACTAAACACTTTCTCAGTTGTAGGAGTGAATCAGTGATACACTTCAAATTTCTCTAAATCTAAGCAGACACCTCCATCTGTGTAGAACCCTTCGAGCAATAATGAGAACTTTTTAGACTTTGTGATAGATCTTAAAGTATTGATACAATTGGAAAGTTGGTCATAGTAGCCATCTGACTGGTCAAGTTGTTCCTGTATACCATCAATCATTGAGTTAGCAATGTCATTATACTCAGAATACATCTCTTTCTCAGCTTTGAGATTTCCTTCAATGCCTAAATGCTGGTAGGTGTAGTTTCTGAGACTGTTGTTTGACAGCACAAAGAGAGTTTTCCAGAGACCAGCTACAACTAAGATTTAGTACTTACATGAGTCCCAGAGGTTAACAATATCTTCAGGTGGTAGCTTGAAGGTAATTTCAAGAATAAGCTCAGATGGGAATACCTCAAAAGGGTTTATGCAAGTTTTCTTAACTTCCATGATGAATTTTTGCGTTATTTTATTAAAATTTAATATCTTCCATTATATCTAGCTTATCAGGGGTTTTGGGGTTTTGGGGTTTTGGGGTTTTGGGG